TCCTTGGCAGCAGTAGTCGCACACGTCCGTCGTAGTCAGTGGCTGCCCTGCTGGTGTCCGCCGAAGCTGAGGCCGCGCGCCACTTCAACGGCTTCACGATGGGGAGGGCGCCCGCGCCCTGCGAAGAAACGAGAGAGACGAATCACCCAGTCTGCCACGACACACTCCTTGGCTTGGCCAGCGAGAGACGACGGCCACGGCACCGCTGAGATCACAAGGTTCGATGCGGACCGAAGGCCTCCTCCGAATGCTGGGAGGGCACCTGGAGACATGTGCCCGCCGTCCACAGCAGGCTTGAACGAAATGTCCACGGGCCATATACAAAAAACCGCTCCCAAGTAACGGCCCGGCATCGGACGGCACGCGGGTGGAAGACAAGCTTGCTTAAAAACGAAAGCGTGTATATAGCTGATGAACACTTTTATTCCACTACGGTCATAAACAACATGTCGCGGTGACTGCACTGCCCTGCGCTAGCAGAAACCCAAAGACTCAAAACCTGATTTCAACAAAGACATGTCTTCCAGGTCCACGATCTCCCGCCGCGATAATTCAGGGGATCACAAGCGGGTGGAGCGGGCGGGAGCCTTTTGAGCCCCGATGGGAACGGAGAAAAGCAAGAAGCAGGAAGGGGACTGAGGTGAAGACCGAAAGGGCGCCAAGCGCTTCACGTCTGCATTAAATTACATCCTCTGATCTCGAACGGCCGACCTGGAGACACTGCGCACAGAGCTAGGACGACACGGGTCATCTCACAATATCCGCCACGGTGCCCTCGGGCACGAGTTGGCGTGTCCTGAAGTCCTTTGATTGATCCCCTGAGCCGCAGTCCTCAATCCTCAGGAGTCTTCAAGGGGCCCGGACCACAAACTCTCAAACCTCCTGGGACTCGGCTCGGTTCCCCTAGTCTTGGCGCATGACCTCTTCAGGGCCAAGAGGGGCCCAAGACGAACCAAGAGATCTCCACGAGCCCGCCCAGACGGTCCAAGGGTGCTCCGAATCGCTGCACGATCGGTCCAAGACGCTCAAGGTGGCTCCAAGATGGTCCAACTGGGCTCTCCAATATCTGTCTCTCGCTTTGGCGCCGCGCGCTTCTGCATTAGCCTTGACGCACCCAATGATTTATACGACTGATCTGTTCGGATGGAGAGCGGCTCCTTCCAGACACCGAACACCGATCCTGAAACGCGAAAGACCCAGCAGCCGAGCGGACAGAGGGCGGTCTCTCTTCAACATCGAGCCCTCATGACATTGAAATGACCGGCCACTGCAAGCATCATCTTGTTATTGCCTGATGCGTCCTTGCGCGATTGGATGCTTAAGCTGATCCAATGGCCACACGGATGTAGGGCGTAAAAAACTACGAACTTGCGCCTGAGACTACGTTACATAGGAAATCATATAGTCAAAAAACAATGGCACGGGTGAAGGGCCGAACCTTCTCAAAATCGTTCTCCCGCGTGGGCGTCGCGCACCTATTTCGGGAAGCATCTACCGTCTGCGTGGATGGATGTGGATCTCCTCTCACAGTCTTTGCTTCGTAACGCTATGCGGTTGTAGCCTAACGTGGTCGTTGGCGCGCACTCCACAACACCATAGGCTGCTCACTATGCATGGCGAATGGGGGTCTCACCCTCCAAGCTGGCAAGCTGGCGCCTGCCGAGGTGAAGCGGAATGCCCGAACTGCCTCTCATGAGTGGTGCATGAGGGACCAGAGGGCGTGCTCCAGCATCTGACTGTGCGTGCTGGGTTAACTTTGGTCGAGGGGAACAGCGGGGGGGGACTGGCTCAGGGGCGGGACATTGACTTGGAACCGGCGGTGCATCACCATAGATACGCCCTCTATACATCGGAACTGAATGTCCCTGTGCAGGCCAAATTGGCGATGAATGGGCGATTGGGAGTCGATGCTTCCCCCATGGGCCAATCAATCCCCCCTGACGTTGCCCCTGACTGGCCCTCCTTCCCCATAACTCCCTCACCAAACCCCCGACGTCCGTTGACCCCCTTCCCCGACACCGGTCCCTCTTCCTGAGTCGTGTCTTGACGGTCCCAAGGAGGCCGAATACATCCGTCCGCGATATTTTGTCACGACGCGATGGGGGCCAGAGCAGCCCCAGCCCCCCCGCCCACCTTCCGAGGTCCGTACAGGTCATGATGTGATTGGCCCCGGAAGAATTCAAGGAGTTCCAGAATATCTGGCGTCCCTTGCTTCTGCGACCAGTGCGGAACATGAGATAATCTGGCAAACCTAGAAATTCTGGAACATATCACTATCATGACCTCTGTTGAACAGGGACCGACCGTCCCGGCATTCCTGTAGGCCTACAACGAGATACTAGTACTACCAAAACAAAAAATGGCTCAAGAACTAACAAACTGCTTCTTTAATGGAAAATCTATGTATTGACACCACTCTGCAGAACTTGAAGTCGTCACCCCCACTGCTCGCGCAAACATCCCACACACCCACCCGCAACTTGGTTTGCAAAACCTCTTAAGACCGACTACGACGACACCGACGACAACGACTACGACGACACCGACGACGTCTCCGACGACTTCCACGACGACAACGACGCCGACGTCGACGAAGACGACGACGACGACGCCAACGAAGGCGACGACGAGGGAGGAGGAAGGACGACGACGGCGACAACGACGACAACGACGACAACGACGAGGGAGGAGGGAGGACGGCGACGACGCGAACGACGAAGAAGGAGGAAGGACGGCGACGCCGACGACGACAACGACGAGGGAGGAGGGAAGACGACGACGACGACGACACTGACGGCGACGACGACGGCGACGAAATAGGAGGGACGACGACGAGACGCCGACGACGGACGACGACGACGACGAGGGAGGAGGAGGAAGGACGACCACGGCGGCAACGACGACGGAAGCGACCACGACGCCAAAGAGGACGACGACGACGATGAACACGAGGAAAGACAGAGGACGACGTAGGCGACGACGACGACGCGGGAGGAGGGAGGACGGCGACGACGACGACGACGACCACGATGCAAGAGCGCGCGCGCACGCATTGTTGAAAATCCGTGTTGCGAAACCTTGGGTTTTGGTCGGTTGTTTTTGGAACCGCGATTTTGAAATCCTCCGTTTGCATATCTTCTGGTATGTACACCCGGTGGCACAGGTCGAAAGCGAAGTCCATGAAGGAGAAAGCAGCCGACGGGCGCCCAGAGCCACACATGCCGAAATCCTTGCCCCGAAGAAAACGGCACCGTAGCAAATCTCCATGGAACCCAAGCAGTCACCAGTGGAGGCTGACACCAAGCAGGAGCAGGCCAGGGGCCACCTGCCCGCCCATCCCCGGTGTGGTTATGCATGGAATTCGAAGCGAGACCTCACGGAACCCGCCCAGTCGCCAGCGGAGGCCGACACCAGACAGGAGCAGGTCAGGGGCCACCTGACCGTCCGTTCCCATTGTGAACCACGCACGGAATTCAGGCTGTCAGAGCACCAACGGACAGCAGTATTGGCGGCGACCCCTGCCGCGTGGGATAAACCCAGCGAAACAAAGGAGATGAGGGGAAGTGCACGCCAGGCACGGTAGGCAACCGTTGTGGCAGCTAACCGCTGCGGCAATAGGAAGCAGGAGACACGAGCATCGGAGCCCACTGAACCCTTTCGGCCATCAGCAGGGAGGGAGGGGTGGCGCTGGCCTAAGGCAGCCAGTCGGCACCGCACCACCCAATCCCGGTGTAATACTTGAGCGACCCCTTTCGCACTCTTCCCGGTGTAGGGGACGAACCATCGCGGAATCCCTTGGAATCCGAGGCGACTGGGTGTTCCCAGGGGTCGTGTTGCCAGTGGGTTGTGTTGGACGGTCAACAAGGTTCTCTCTGTCTTCTCCCTGCCCCTCACCCTGCGACTCGCGACTATCATCACACTCCCCCCGGTGGAAGCGACTGACCGTCGCAGAGGCTCTTCTCTGAGGTCCGCGCAGATTCCTTGGGTCGGTGCTGGGCCTGCCTTCCTGGCCCGCGGAGCGCGCCAGGGGCGGCGAGCGGCGCCGGAGGCGCCGCCAGGGAAGCCCAGCGCCGATCCAAGAAATCCGCGACGAGCTCCGAAAGTGTATGTTGCTTCAGTGCTTTCTTTTTCGGTTCCTGCTCCCCCGCCCATCGGGAGCCCCGCGGTGCCTGCCGTGCGCGACGCACCGAATGAGGACAGAAGGAAGCTCCCGAGCGGGGCCCGCCGGGCGAAGTTTTCCACCGCAGATCCTTTCTTGGGGCTCGAAAGCGGCCCCCGAACCCAGAACCTCGTCCCTGCCCGCCTCCCCCGCCAATCGGTCGGAGGTGGCGATCAGGGCGAATCGCCCAGCGGAGAACAATACAACGTATCCAAGGGCGCCGACAGTCCATGCCGTCGGCGAGGCTCCCAGGCGAACACGTGTAATGCTCGCTCTCCCCGGAGACGCGCTGAGGGCGGCGGCGCGACCGCCGTAGTTTCCCCCTCCCCGCTTTCCCCTCCCCCTCTCTCTCTCGTCGTCGTCGTCGTCTCTCCGTTCATCGACTTGCCGCTGGGCCCTTTCGCGGTGGCAAGAAAAATGAGTGCAGTACGCGCCACTGGGCGATTCGCCCCTATCGTCGCCACCGAATCGTGCCTGCCCGCTCGGGGATGCACTGACCCAGGTGAGTCCAGACACGGGTCAGTCGGGCTTTGCAGGACCCCGCAAGATCCTGCAGGATCCTGAGAGATCCTGAGAGGTCCAAACCCGCGTCCATGCACCCCTGGCTCTGCAGGGTCCTGCAAGACCTGGCGCTCTGACTGCCCCCCGTTTGCATCGATCCTGGGGGTCCGGGGCCCCAGTCGTGGTGCCTTACGATCCGGCAGCTGCTTCGCCTCGTCTTGTCTCATGGGAGGACTGGCCTGGCCGCCCAGGCAAGAGCGACCTTCGGGGAGCGCGGCCTGCGGGGCGCTCTGACTGACCACTGGTTGCATCGACCCCCGTCTCTTGAGCCCCGCCGTGCCTGCCCGCCTCCGCCGCGACCCCGGCGGTGGCCGCCCGGGGCTGCGCAGCGCTCTCCGTGGTGCCCTGCACGCCGGCGGGGGCGCTGGGTCGCTCCGCAGCCGGCCCGTACGCCGCCGCGGGCTGCGGGGCGAAAGGGTGCCCCGAGGGCCTTGGGCGTTGCACAGGTCAAGCAGTGGCGAAGCGAAGCGTCCTGGTCTGCCTTTAGGCCCACCATAGAATGTTCTAAGAACCTTCCGTAGTCTGCGCGAAATTGTGTTAGTATATGTCTGTCTGAGACAGTGTTGTTCTAATGCATCGGGCATTTGCTGGTTCAAAGCAATGTCGCGGTAGGCCTATAGGAATGCCAGGACGGTCGGTCCCTGCTCAAACGGGGGGATGCGCGATAAGAATGCAGAACTGACAGTAAGGACGCGCGATAAGGATACCACCCACTTGCACGCCCATGTCGAGGCTCTTCGAGCGGGGTTGGCTTTGGAAAGGGGTCAAGGATGGACCGAAGGGGCATGGCTGCAGGGGTGCCCTTAGGAAGGTTGCCCATCCTTACCGTCGGTTTCGAGTGCAAGTTCGAGTAGGAGATCGACTGCATAATTAATGTACGCCAAATTCATTATCCGAAAGGTCATACGTAGAATGGTCGCAGGTCTAAGCGCATTCTAGTACTCGTTTTAGCTTCTACGAAAAATCAGGGGTAAACCAATTCTGTAGTCGATCTCCTACTCGAGAAATGAGGGGGGCGAAAATACGTGCACTTGTCCTTCCCCTGTTGGACCCCAGATAGGGCCCCGAATCAAAGCGCGCCTCCCCCCCATGGATCCCCCACCCATTACGCAACTCCCGCGGGCCGCTGCCCGGCGCAATCCGGGGGCAGGGCTGAGGCGGCGCACCTGCAGGCTGGACGTGCAGGCGGAGTCTGATTACGGCAGGTTCGCGTCGACCCCAGCGTTGATTCCTGACACCGCGGGGATCGTTCAAACTTAAACGATCGGCCGCTTCTGGAACGTCAGATCGTTTAACACCGACCATTTCTGGGTCGCCAGCGGCGTTCAACATTGAACGCTCGTGGTGGGGTCGCCGCTGGTCGACACGACGCGAACCTACCGTAGAGAGGACACGTGAGAGGACACAGGACTCGTCCGAGGACAACATGGCCTTTAATCCAGGGTGTCCTTGCCCTTGGAGTCCAGCAGACCCGAGACGCCATACATTGGACACGAGGGCACCATTGATTTGGAAGGGTCGACCTGCGAATCAAAGTCGACTGTCCTGGCGTCGCAATTTTTTCGGGCCAAGCGTGTTCGCATAAAATCGGGCGATGGGACCCTCACAAATCGATCTGGCTCGAAAATGCCGCAGAAGTCGTCAATCCAGACCCGGGTCAGTCGGGCTTCGCAGGATCCTGCGGGATCCTACAGGCTCCTGCACCCAACCCCGGGTCGCTGCGACCCTGGCTCTGCAGGATCCTGCAAGATCCAGCGCTCTGACTGACCCCTATTTGCATTGGGCCCCGGGCGTGGTGCTTCACGGTATTGCAACTTTTTCGCGTCGTCGGATCTCCTGGGAGGACTGGCCGCCCAGGCAAGAGCAACTTTCGGGGTGCGCGGCCATCAGGGCGCGTGGGGGTGGGAGCCAACGCCAGGCGCACAGGCCGCTGCCATTGCATCGCATTCTCGGCCACCTGGGGGCCCCGGTGTAACCAAGAGGTCGCTCTGGCAAGCGGGTCGCCCTTATTCTAGGGAACCCACTGAGGACGTACGCGCCCAATCATGTACGTGGACACGGCCGCCCAATCCGCGAGACCGGCCACGTGATACGAACGTTCGCGCAATGCGCACTCTCGAAACCAACGTGGAGTCATGTACGTGTACGTTCTTCTTTCGCTCCTGATGCTCGAGTAGGGGATCGACTAGAGCACTCATTCAGCTCAGACTTGCGATTGCCCTCGATTCTACGAACATAACAACGAATACTTCGTGTATCTGCGGGGCTTTCGAAGCATTTTTCCTTGGGCCCATGGGACAAATCATGGGATAACTCAATTCTGCAGTCGATGCCCTACCCGAGAAGTGCAGTCGACCTTCCCAGGTCCACCGCCCAGCAAGGCCGGGCCACCGCCAGCAAGGCGCAGACGAGCTGGCGGGACGCGGGGGGCACAACATCCTCCACCGAGTGGCGCCGCCAGTCGGGCTGCCGGTCCCACGCCCGGGGGCCGCCCGACGCAGTCCGCTGCCCGTCCCACTCGCCGAACTGGGGGCCTCGTGCGGTGTGCACGGCCATGTGGCTCACCTCCAGCTCCAGCTCCACCAGGACTGCGCAGTCCTAACCAATCTCGAACTTTATCCCGATCCCTACGATCGGCAGGCCCAAGGCGATGACAATCTTAGCGATGCGCCCTCAGGAACTGGCGGGGTCCTTAAGATCGGCAACGAGGTGAGGTGATGCCAACCATAAGGATAGGGATATGTTTCAAGCCGGTGAAGTCCAGCGGATTGCAGACGACAAGCATGGCAGCGCCCTCCAGCTCCACCAACACCAGCTCGGCCGCTGTCACACGGCTGCCGTCACCCAGGTCCACCTCCAGACTGCGGCTGCGCCTGGCTGGCCGACGGGGCTCACGCGTCTGCAGCGTCGGGTGCCCCGGGGCGGCCATCGTGGACAGGAGGGCGGCCCACGTCTGCACCGACAGATCGTCTGGAGCCCCGCGGACCCACGCTGGCGATGAGCAATGAACACGAAGCAACACAGGACCAGCCCATGCGCGGAAGCTGAATGGCACCACCAAGTACTCGCAACCCGCCTCGAGGGTCAGGCTGCAAGTCGCGCTCCTCCACGCGCCGCCCATCGCCAGCGCGATAGGCTCGTGACTATCGGCGTCGATGACCAGCATGCCCAAGTCACTGAGCACGCGCCCCATGGCGGGGCGCAACAATCTGGCCCCGCGCGGCGTCGGCTGCGCCAAGGTCAGCCAGCACATGACCGACTCGACGCCGCCGGCTGCTACACGCAGGGCACAACCCCGGACGCCGAGACCGCTGCCTGGGGCGAACTCGCCTTCGAAGGTGCGCGTGTGTGCCAGGTTGCCGCCTGTGGCCTTGGCGTGGCAGGCGTCCGCACGCCCAAAGCTGGAGAGGAACTCGCGCGGGAAGGGCACCCAGAACGAGCCGTCGGAATGCGTTGAGCCCTCTGCCGGGACCCCCTGGAGGGCGGCCATCACGTCGTGGTAGCCGGCCCCTGCATGGAGGCCCGCCCGCGGATTGCGCAGCCGGACGGCTCGACACCCGTGGATGCCAGCGACCTCCAGCCTCGGGTCCTGAGCGTCAACCGCCTCGAGCAGCGCGTGCACGGTGCCGCGCCCGCGGCCGCTATCCCGCGAGCTGCAGACGACCAGCGCGCCAACCTCGCTGGCCCCTTGCAGCCACATCCACAAAACATCCGCGTCCACCTCTCCATCGAGCAGCCAGGTCTCAACTGCGGCCCCCGTGAGGTCCACCAGGAGCTCGTCCAGAGGTGCTCCGAGCAACGCGAAGTTGTAGGAGCCGAATGCTTTCGCGTACGCCTTCTCCAGCAATGGTAGCCAGAGCTGGTTGCCTGCAGCTCGCCCGAAGGCCAGTGTCTCGGTACCGGTGCGGCACGTGGAACCGCCAGGGTGCTCGCCGACTGCAGCCACTGGCAGACGTTCGTCTATGAGGAACGCCCTCCACCGGCCGTCCACGCACAAGCGCACCTCGTGGCACCCGCCAGCGCCGCCGCCACAGCCTGCGTTCGGCAGCAGTCGGGCCAACGCCTCGGGCCGCTCCGCCAACGCGGCCGCCGCGTCCGCGAAGTAGTCCCCGCACCTCTCGGCCTCCGGGCCCACCCGCGCGTCCTCGGGCCGGAAGCCTTCCCCCCCCACGACCTCGTATCGCCTGTCGGCGCGCCCCGTGTCGAAACGGGCCCACCGGAGTGCCTGCGCCTGCGCCGACGACCCGAGGTCACCGAAGTCGAGGAAGCGGCACGCCCGCCCAGCGCAGCGGAAGTAGGGCCGCCCGTCGGCGGCGCCGGGCACCCGCACCCGGTTCATGCGCGAGCGGCGCCCGCAGGGGCACCGCGGAGCCTCTGGGGGGGGCGGCTCGGCGTCATCGTCGGCAGCGTCCTCCCGGGGCCGCTGGGAGGCGATGAGGTCGATGAGAGCCGCCTGGCCCTTCTTCACCGGCGCGCCCGCGAGCCCGTCGATGCTCTTCGCCTCTGGCGCGAACTCGTGGTCGAAGAAGCCCTCCAAGTTCCCCGACCCCAGGAGCCCTATCTGCACGGCCAGGCGGTGCTGCTCCAGCACCCGCTCGTTCTCGACGTCCTCAGTAGAAGAAACAATTTCACAAGCAGACGCTTTCGGAAGTTTCCGCGGATGTGCAGTGGGGGCGCGGTTGCAGGAAAACCTCACAAGAAACCCAGGCAATCGGGGAAAAACTCAAGGAACCCTGAAGGCAGCAGTTCCCTAACGCCCGCGGGGAGTCACCGCGCAACGAAGAAACACAAGGTACCCTGACCAACAGCATCTAGTTTCTTGAAAAGTGGCCCTATTGTGTTAGATCTAACTGCCACCCCCCTGGCGCGCGGAGCGCACCGGGAGCGACGCCGCCAGGGTGGCCCCGCGCAGGCCCAAGAAATCCGCGCGGGCCTCCAAAGGTTTGGGTGTTGCGCCGTCTTTGCGAGGCGGGGATTTATCTATATTCATCGCCCGGGAACCGACGTCATGGGGACCCAGCGGGCCGTGGATGTGGATGTATTTTGACCCCTGGGGGCCCGAATCTATCTATAGCCACCGCCTGTGGGAGTCTGGGAAAATCGATCCTCTAGGCGGTGGTCATGTAGGGATCTCCACCTCAAAGTCTTTTCCTTCTTTGAGTCCTCGCCCTCCACCAGTTCCCAATGGTCTGGGACCGCTCCGGGGACCGCCTGGGCGCCCTGGGCCCCCGGGGGCGCGGCCGCCGCCCCCGGCGCGCCCCGCGGGCGCGCCCTCCAGAGGTGCTGCCGCGCCATCGGCGGGAGAGGGGCCGCGGGTGCTGACGGAGCGGTGCGGTGCGGCCGCTCAGAGCCCAGCGCGCGGCGTTGGGCGTGAAAGTCGCCACGGGGCGCACCGCGTCGCGGCGTCCCCGTCCCCGTCCTCCTCCTCATCCTCCTCCCCCTCGTCGTCGTCCTCCTCCTCCTCCTCCTCCTCCTCCTCCTCTTCCTCCTCCTCCTCTTCCTCCTTCTCCTCCTGCTCCTCCTGCTCCTCCTCCTCCTCTTCCTCCTCCTCCTCCTCTGTCGGTCGGTCGGTCGGTCGGTCGGTCGGCGCGCAAGACGGACGATGCGCAAATGGAGAGATGAGGCGAGAAGACCAAAGGGTGAAGGACAGAGCAGCGGCAGCAGCAGGATCACGATCCCCCCTCATCCTCATCGTCCTCCCCCCACACGTGAGTCGTAGATCGTGCCAGGCCGTATTGAGACTCAAATCTACGGCCCACAGCTCGGAGCAAGGCTCCAACACGCCCCTGGACGGCCCCAAGACCCCCGAATGACCCCAAGAGACCCCCGGTGGGCGTCCACAAAAGCAGAAGCCGCCACCGTACCCTGAGGCACGAGCTGGAGTGTCCAGGTTCCTCGCGTTCTCCGTCCTCAGCCCTGAGGAACCTTGGAGGGGCCCACAGCCCCGAGTTCCAGCGGCTCCAGGGCGCTCTTTGGATTACCATGGGTCTTGTCGCATGCCTTGTTCGGAGCCGAGGGGGCCCCAGGACGGCCGAGAGGGCGCCAAGAGGCACCTGAGACGGTCCAAGAGTGCCCCGAGTCGGCCAAATAGCCCTCCAAGATGCCCTAGATGGTCTCAAGACGCTCTAAGAAAACCCCAAGAGTCGCCCCAAGACGGCCCAAAATGCCTTCTAGATTGCCTAAGAGGCCCCCAAGACGCCCCGAGAGGGCTCCAAGAGGACCTCGAGGAGGCCTACGTCATTGACTAATCATCGGTTCTTCAATGGTTTGAGCGTTCTCGCCTTTTCGGGCGTCTGACGCTCCAAGACGGCCCCATAGGCCCACAGGATCGCCCCAAGACGGACAAGAGGCCCTCAATAGGCTAGGAAGGCAAACCAAGAGGGCCCCAAGATGCCCTAAGAGGCCCACAAGACGGTTCCAAGATGGCCCCACAGGCTTCCAAGATGGGCCTGAAGCGCCTAGTGCCTAGAGAGGCCCCCAAGACGGCCTGAGACGGCCAAGAGGTCCTTCCAGAGGCCAGCAGAAGCCCCCAAGGGGCCCCTCAGAGGCCCCCAATCGGCCCCCAAGAGGCTCCAAGGGCGCCCTCAGGAAGCCACAAGACGGCCTCAAGACACCTTATGATCCTCCTCCTCCTCCTCCTCCTCCGCCTCCTCCGCCTCCTCCTCCTCCCCCATACTCCACTTTCTCCTCCTCATCCTCCTTATGCTCCCCCTCATCCTCCTTTGCATTCATTCCCAGGTGTTCCACAAAGGGGTTCCACAACGGCTGGCGGAACACGTAGTCCAACAGCTTGGCCAGACCTTGGCCCGACGTATGGCCGCATGGGCGTTTCCAAGAGGCAAGGGGCGGCGGTGGTTCGCCGTAGGCGCCTTCGATTCCGCCGCCCCTTGTGTTTACCACAGGGATGCTTTGTGTGCTAGACGCATTCCTGTGTAACACATGTTTGAAACTTGTTCCCAATGACCTTCGACTTGACCCGCTGGCCACACCGAAAGACCCGGGCTGACCTTCATGCCCAGAGCATCTGGTTCCAAGACGGTGAGAAGTGCCTCCCGGACGGCCTCCAGGCGCCTCCAAGACGAGATTGCCTCCAATATCGCCCCAAGATAGCCCCAGGACGTTTGGCCGCGTGGGCGTTTCCAAAAACTAGGGTGGCGGTCGGCAGGGATCTCATCAAGACTCATACAATCATGGCATTGCCAGAAGAAACGCCACATGATGAACGAAGGTTCTTTCCCGGCCACGGCAAGCCTCGTCCACGAAGAGGTCCACCGACCTAGACCCGAGGAACGGCCCGAACACCCGAGCCCCTCCTGAGCCGAAAATTGTCCCCCCATGTATACCCTGACTGTAATGCCAGAGTCTGGCCCCGACCCTCCGCTGGAGACTGCGCCCCATGCGGGGGCGTTCGGCTTCGAGGGTGCCCCCCCCGGGAGGGATTGCTTCGGGGGCAGCACGGGCAACCTTCAAGAGGGCAACAGCGGCTCCACAGAGCTCCCACGGGAACACTCCAGCCACAACGACGTGGTGCACAAGGAGGAAGACGCTCGTCATGAAGGAGGCAGGCCCTGAGGGAAATGGGTCATGAGGTTTTTCACCGTTTCCATGATCTCGGGGCCCTCCACGGCCCCCGGGAAAGTCAACAAACGGCTCGGGATGAAGAAGTCGTCCTGGGGGAAAGCTCCGGGGTCCAGGACCCGTTTCCTTTATGCTAAGACAAGGAGAGCGGAGAAGCGGAGGACGAGGAGGAGGACGAGGAGGAGGACGAGGAGGAGGACGAGGAGTAGGAGCAGGAGGAGGGGAAGGAGCAGGAGCAGGAACAGGAACAGGAGCAGGAGCAAGAGAAGGAGGAGGAACAGGAGGTTGGAGCGTCTGGGGGGCAACGTCTTCAACCACTCTACTGCCGACGACGCCACAGACGACCCGGCTGGCCGAGGGGCATTTCGACGGCTTGGAGGGCGGCTCGCGCCAGGCTTTGGGCGGCCTCCTGAGAGAACGGGGGCGCGTGGGCTTTACTCTCTTGGTGTGCCAACCGATAGAGAAAAACATAAAAAACGGTGAATTTGAACGTGTCGGGGGCGGGGTGGATCAGTCCCAGAGCCAGGAGGGGGTCCAAAAACGGGGGCGCGGGGAGGTCAGCTCTTAATTGCCTGCGGGCGAGCATATGCATCGGGTCGCACCAACGGAAATAATGCTTTAAAGAGTCGCGAGCCCCAGGACAACCCCAGACGCACCGCCCATACGGGTTGCGCATCCTAGACTCTGTGATCCAGCCCCCTCCCCACGTCTTAATGCAAGCGCTGCGCCAGGACGGCGGGATGCGATGCATCACCGAGGCGACGGCCGACCAGTCGATCGCCTCAGCGTCGACAGCGCGGGCCCCAAACCAGCGTTGGAGACGCTCCTGCAATCGGAGATGGAGGCGAGGAGGAAGCCGAGAATCGCCCAACGTGCTCCGGAAACGCTTTTCCGGAGCACGTTGGCGGCTGGCGCGAAGATACGAACGGAGAAGGGAGGAGTAGAGGAGGCGCTGTGGCCGCACATGCCGCGAGAGAGCACGCCGCCCATTCCCTGCGGCGGGGCGGGCGCGCCTGCGGCGGGCCTCGTCGGCGGCGGACGCTCGCAGGGCGCGCGCGGCCGTCGCGCGGGGGCTCGTCCCGCGGCTCGACGCAGCTCTTTCCAGCGTCGCCGCGATGGCCTCGGATCGCCACCAGCTGGGCAACGGGCAGCCTCGGACCGTCCGCACCACGGGCAAGTGCTGCAGCGCGGCCCCGCGGAGCTGCCGCACAGCCGAGCGCCAGGAGCCCAGCGTGACCACCGCCGCCCTCACGAGGGCCGCCTCGCACCATGTCGTGGCCGACGGGATCTGCGGGCCGCCGATGGCGTCGAGCTCGCGCCACTCCCCGTCGCCCAGGAAGCTGCCTGGCAGGCGCAGCAGGTGCGCCAGCCCCCCCCGCTCTAGTCTCTTCAAGGAGGCGGGGGCCTCCAGCAGCTGCGCCTTGTGCGACACGACGGGCACGCAGCGCTCCTCGTAGAGGAGGATGGCCGCATGCGTGTCCGAGCGGCTCCTCGAGATCTCCCCGACACGCTCGGAGTACTTCCTCATCGGCGCACGCCACTGCGCCTCCTGCGTCACCCCAGGGCCCAGCAGCACGCCCAGGTATTCGAGGTGGTCCACGATGGGGAACGCCTCCCAGTCCTTATCAGCCGCCACCAGGGAGTCCCTCGCCCGCTCATGCGCGTCAGCGCGCTGCGGGTCTCCCAGCGGGATGGCAAAGCACTTCGCAGGCTTGATCACCAGGCCTGCCAGGAGCTTCGCGCCACGGAAGACGCGGGCCAGCGTCATCAGCCCACGTTGGGCCATCACCGCCGCGCCCAGGTCGTCGGCGCACCACCTCGAGATGCCCCGAAGCTTGGAGTCCAGGTGGACCTTCAGGTCCTGTCCGAACGGATGGGCGGCAAGGACGAACAGCGTGCCGCTGGCGGGGTCGCCCTGGAGGATGCCCGAACGCACCGCATAGAGCGCAGCCCTCGTGCGTGAGGCCGCAAGGGAGACGACCCCGTCGCAGTTGACCTTCAGCGCGCCCTGGAGTTCCTGGGAAGCGCCCATGGCGCGCAGCGAGCCGAAGAGCCAGTCCTGCGCGATGCTCGGGAAAGCCTGGCCCCAGTCGAAGGAGATGAGGAAGGGGGGGTCGTCATGTCCAGCAGCCATGGACAGCGCGCGGGAGTGCGAGTCGAGCTCGACTATGTCGTCGCAGAAGTTGCGCCCACAGATGAAGCCGCGCTGCGTGTCCACGGAGTGCCGCTCCGCCACCCGCTTCATGCGTGAGTTGAGGGCCCACATGACGGCCTTCTTGGATGTGTTCTCCAGCGCCAGCGTCCGAGTCTCACCGGCGCGCCCGAGGACTTCTTGAGGATCATCAGCCCGCGTCCCCTTGGCGGGGAAGACGGCGATGGAGTAGTTCCATTCCTGGCGCATGGGTAGGCCATCGATCTGCCGCGCCATCGCTTCCGCCAGCGTCTCGACTCCCAGCGGCGTGGCGAGCCAGGCCTCGGCGCCGAGGCCGTCTGGCCCAGGCGCCGACTTGCGGGCCCTGCGGAGAGCCAAGGCAATGGTGCATGCCGAATGAGGCTCGATCGAGGCCCAGTCCACTCCTTGGATGCCATAGCGTCGGAGATAGCCATCCTGCAGCTCCCGTCGACGCTGAACAGCACGAGGAGCATCTCGGGGGAGGGGCACCATGACGCCGCCCTGGAAGGACATGGGGGCGCCGCTTATGCTGGAGGCAAGATTGCGCATCATGTCCCCCGCGGACTGCCCCCGATTGACCACGT